CCGCCTGCTCGGTAGAATTCGAGCTCTGATGCGACACGTGAAAGCGTCTTGTCTGCTTGGGCTTTTGGGGTTTGTTCGAGCGTTAGTATCGTTTTTAAGCTTGTTTGGTAGCCCATTGTTTCCGAATCGCTCTTCCCCTTTCTGCACGCTGAGGGCTCTGTAATTGGCCTTTGTTCCTTAGCTGTTGTCTTGAGCCGTAATCCCCTTTCTTCGCATAATCAAACCTGACCAGATTTCCTGTCGGCAGGCGGACATCCAAGCAGTGTGTAGCAATCCACTTCGGTCTCTCACGAGTTCTCGCTGGGTCGCAGACAGGTTTGGAACGTGATTGAAGCTGTTGTCTGGTCTGATCGGTCTGATGTATTGCCCTAAATCTCAATATTCAAGCGGAACCAATGATCGGCAGCACAGCAGAGCTCTGAAAGTGCAAACTCATCAGAAAACATTGTTGTTCAAATTTAAATGAACTTAAAGCAGTCCTTGTGGCTTCTTTCTGTGATCGAAGTCTTTCCATCCTTTTTTCCTCCCCCCTGCCCCTTCCCACCCTGGTTTCTTCCAGGTCTATATGTTTCTCAGACCATCTCTTCCTTTCCAGCCTCTACCCCTTTCCCTTTTCTTGCTGGACAAAGAAAAAAGGGAGATGCTGTCCACCCTTCGTTGTAAGATCCCGTGGTCCTAACCTTGTGATTTAGTCTCTTCTATCTTGACTTTTCATGTGTAAATCAGTTTACTGCACTAAATCTACCCTAGGTTTCTGCAGTGTGTCATGGTTTAAAGGTGGTGTGAACTGTGGTTTACTCCAGTATGCTCTGTCTGCATTGCTGGCTTACATCTGAATAGCTACATTGGTTATATGCTTAATCTAACCTAAAATTCAGCAGAAATGTGGAAGTAATAATTTTGCTTTACCAGTTGCTGTTTTCCCCTAAAATTAGAAGTGTAATGAAGCCATTGAGGGGCAGGAGCAAATCCGTAACGTGTTTTTATAATCTGAGTAACTCATGTTCTGTGTGTTACTGTTGCTTCCCCTGTGTTTTGTAAGTTACTATGCAAGGCCTACAGGTAAGACTATGGGGTAATAATTTTGTGGAATTTTTTTTTATCATCATCTGGGTGTAGATTTTGTGTTCTCCAGTAAAAACTACAGTTCTGTATATTGAGTTAAACTCTTACATTCAGGCATCATTTGATGACGTGGTATGACCTGACACTAATTGCTTTGGGATATTAGAAACAAAAAACCCCACCAAACCCTATGAAACAGTTCAGCAGTGTAAAACAGTATGTAGGAAAACCACTTAAAGCTTCCTTTTCAACTCTACTTCAGCTGTTTTACAAGATGGTGAACATCTTGTTAGTGTTTCACAGGTTTATCAGACTTTTCTGTTACAGGGGGGTTGGGGCTGTTTTACCTAAAACCACATGATGTTCATCTTCCAGGAAACCTCCTCCTCCTGTGGATGAGATTATACTGTGTTCAGGTTGCTGTATTCTAGTTGATCTACAGAAAAATGAAGCCGGCTGGCCATCTTCATCCAAAGCCTACCCTTCCTTCTGGCAGGCAGGAAAGGCTTTGAAGGAGTCGTCCTCAGTCAGTCTTGCAGTAGTTGCGATTTGTGGAACAAAGTAGCAAATCTTTATAGTTAGTGGTATTTGAGGTGAAATAAATAATGCCATAGCGTGTAGCAAGAGGAATGTGAGTCCTTCCTCTTGCCAGGCTCTGTAATCGACAAGCTGCCTGCGTAGCGGTCAGGAACGAGCTGGGCTTTTACTCTTTGGTAGCAGAAATGCTTTTACTGTTCATGACTTCTGCCTGAAGTTAGAGGCTTATCTTAATGTAATTTCTCCTTCTAGCAATTTTGCAGTGTAGACTTGGAATGTCGATTGGGCTATGACAACCCAGTTGTATACAAAACAGGGCAATTTCCTTCTGCGTGTGCTGGTCACATTCAGGCTACTTGTGTATGCATTTTGTATTCAATAAAGATGGATGGATTAGATGGCCTGCTGATATGATTTGTTTCAGCAAGTGCTTACATTAAGCATCTCTGTATGACATGTTTTAAGCTTTAATAAAAAGGAAAACAAACCTTTTAGAGTTCTAATCAAAGTAGAAAATCATTGGTATCTGCTTATCTTGGAACAGTTTTTCTAAGCAGAAGAAAAATTCCTGATTCATCGCACCACCTTCCTTACTTTGTTCTTATCCTTAAGGGATGGAGTACTGTCTGAAAAAAGACGTAAAACAGAAAGACCAACTCAAATTTAGGTTTCGGGGTGGGTAACAGAGATGGGAAATCAGAATGGCAGCATTGCTGCATCACATTAATGCTGGAAACCATACTTCTGTCAAACTACTATTTACCATGCTGCTCAGTAGCACTAAAATTAAGTTTTTTCCTTTAAGTGTATATGTGAAATCTAACATTGCAATCTTCATGCTGCTGAGAAGACTTATGGAAATATTAATAGGAAAGCCCATTTGATATACAAATACTCATATACTCTCAAATAATTTCAAAACCATTAATACTGTATTATGATGGATCTGTACAAAGTTTTTGAGAACAGCTTACACTACCTGACATCTTTTTAAAGAGCCTTTTAAGCAGTGGTAGTAACACCTCCATAAATAAATTCCATTCTTCCCTATACTGCAACTGGACTTTCTGTTACTTTCATGTGGAACAGAGAATGCTTCGGCATTTGTCTAGACTTCGGATGTACGTACTATCAAAGTTGCTTTTATTCTATAAGAAATGGAAATTAAACCAAACTCAGACAATGCAATTTACTTGGCCTGTATTTTTGTTTCTTACTGCAAGTTTAAATATCCCAGCAAAGAACTTTCTAAGAACAAAGTTTGACAGTCAAAAATGCTTCCAGTCCTATTACGTTCTTAACTGGTAAAGTTGTTAGGCATTTAATCGTAAGCCAGGTTCTTCTGGAAATGCCTGACTTTGAACATGCTGTCAAGTGATGAGATCATCGTTGTCGTGAGGAACTACTGCTCTGAAGAGAGGCAGGCAACACCCTCGGTTCCGGTTTCGCTTGGTTCCCTGATGTGAAATGCTCATTGTCACTGAAAATGCAGCTTCAAAGAGAACAGCAGAGGTCATCTTACCATTTCTGTAAGGCATAACAGGATCAGTTATATCTAAACAGTTCATCAAACGTTGATTTGTCCTGTTCTAAAAAGCAAAACATACCCCACACCCAAAGATATATATTCCACTACTTCCCAGGGAAGCCTTTTAATCCTTGTCTTTAAAAGCTTTCTCTAATGTATAATTCAAATTTAAATCTTCATCCTGAAGTTTAAACTCTCTACTTTTTGTCCTGTTTGCTGTAGACAGGACAAATTTGTTTTAAACATGTTAAAGGTAGCTGCAACGAGAGTCTGTTGTCTTCAGGTTTTACTGTGGAAGAAGGGACAAACTTAACTGCAAAACATACAAGGTTGAAGTAACCTTTTAATTGCCTTTGTTACCTCTGGACTGTCTTTCCTTTTGGCTCATGTTTCAAGGAGCAATGTGCAAAACTGGACAAAAATGATTCAAGTGAGAACTCTCAGTACCAAGTAGAGCAGAGGATTTCTTCATAATGTTGCAAATTACTTTCCTTGTCTCTGTCTGATTAGCACACTCTCACCTTTTTTTCTTTTTTTTCCCCCCCCCGATAGTAAGAGTGTGTTGTTGAACTTAACTTTCAAATTTATCCTTAGATTTTTGATGACTGGATAAGGGTTACATCTTTGAAAACATGATCTGCACCTAGTATGAGTGAATAGTTAGTGTT